GGGGTCCATGGTGGGGGGGGGGGCTGTGTATGAACGGGGCTCAGAGCCATTCGGCTTTGCCGCCTTGGGGAAATCTAAGGCGAACGTGCTCTTCGAGGCGCAGGCGTACTCCGGGTGCTTGGCACGTGCAAAGGAGCCGCTGTTCACCCAGGAGTCGGCTCAGAGGCAGGACAAAGTGTCCACACCGTGACCTGATAACCTGCGAGGCAGCCGCCACTGGTGACCCGTCTACGCGCTGGAGACACCAGGGTCGCCCTCCCGGCCAATCACCTGAGTGGCTCTGAGCCCCCGCGTCGTCTACCAGGCCTGGGACCCAGTCTTGGGGTGGGGAGTGCCCCCGGGGCGCCCCAACGGCTTGGAGACGCTCTAGGCCTGGGTGTGGGAGGGCTTTTCTGGAAGGTGCTCACTAGGCACGTCATCACCACGCCTCAGTGCGCCCGGACAACACCACCTGCCCTCAGGCGGAGACACACGCACGCATACACACACACACGCTCACGCTAAACCAACACACGTGTCTGACATTTGGACGCAATTTAAAAACACATCCAAACAAGACACGAACAATGACCTTTCCTGAGCAAATGTCTACTGTTTTTTTTAGCAAGGAAACATTCACTTCCAGACGTGCGCACTGGCTGGTGTGCACAGGGGGCTGCCTCCTGGGGGTCCTACTGCCCCTCCCCCTTCCTCCTTGGCCTGAGGGTGGGTTTCAGGTCTGAGTCCCCGAAGATCTTGGCTGTTCCACTTTGCGTGGCCGAAAGCGATGAGCCGACCCCCCACCCCCTCCCTGCAGCGGTCGGTCCTGATGGGGCTGGCTCCCCGCCTCCACGGAGAACCCGGATCGCGGACCCCCGTGGGCGGCCACCGCCCGGCCTCAGCACACCCCGCCCGCTGCCCTCGGGGGTGGCATGGATCTGGGGTTCCGAGCCTGGGCTTGAAGTCTGGCCCTATTAATTCCCCGCAGGGATCAGATCCCAAGTGCCCTAACGCATCCCCGCCAGGTCTGGGGAAGAACCTTCCTTCGGACAATCTTGTGTAGCCCGAGACACCGCGGGGCCCTGGCGAGCATGGATGGTGTCTCCCGCGGCCCGCCTCCTGGGCACACGCCTGCACAATGCAGCCGTCCTCCCCCTGCGCCCGGGCCGCTCACCAAACGTGATCCTCCCCGTCTCCTCCTCGTCGATGGCCCGGAAGAGGTCAGTCACGGTGAGCTCGGCCACGCCTAAGGCGGTCTTGAGGATGCTGGACAGGGCGCCTTCATCGATGCAGCCGTCCTGTGACCCGTACATCTGCAGGCAGAGGCTGGTGTCACCCACGATCCCCCAACTGTGCAGAGGCCCTGACCCCACGGCTCCCACTCCCAGGAGCACGGAGGCCTGCGCCACACCCAGCTGCCCTAGCAGGGGGCCTCCGGGTGGTGGAACGCGTGGGTGCTCAATGAAATGGATGTGCCACCACCGTGCTTGACCTTGAGGGGGTGGCTGACCCACTGACCTTTTCCAACAGCTTCTGCTTAGGTTCTGGCGAGTGACCGAGAGAGTCCCTGTGGGGCTGGCACCAGCTGTCAACCGCAGCGTGAGCACCCCAGCGCTGCCCGTCGGTCTGCCCGTTAGCCGGGGGCCGCCTTCTCCCGGGCTCCCCCTCCTTCAGTGGCCTGAGAAGCCTGCCCGTCCAGTGGGACCCCAGCACTGAGATACAAGCACTGCCTGGCTTATACATCAGGCTCTCACGAGTCTGGCTAATAGGAGTTGCATCTGGGGGCATCTGGGTGGCTCAGTCGGTCGAGCGTCCGACTTTGGCTCAGGTCATGATCTCACGGTGAGTTTGAGCCCCGCACTGGGCTCTGTGCTGACAGCTCAGAGCCCAGAGCCTGCTTCGGGTTCTGTGTCTCCCTCTCTCTCTGCCCCTCCCCTGCTCATGCTCTGTCTCTGTCTCAAAAACAAAAACCTTCAAAAACAATTAGAATAGGAGGTGCATCTGTAACAAGGAGCCGTTCTCAGACCCTGACAAAACTGTGTTTCTGGGGAGTGAAGCCGGCCCAGCCCCATCCCAGCTGACAGTGTCCTGGGGAGGCGGCCGGGTGAGGGCACGTGAGCCGGGACCCCGTTATGGGTGTTTCTCAGACTCTCAGAATCCCGGGGATGTGGTGGAAGGCTCGGCGCTGGGCACACAGCCGCTCTGCAGCCCGAGCCGACGCGCTGACGAAGAGGCCGCGGTGGGAGAGCGGACCGGGTGCGGGCTGCGCCGGATGGATGGCGTAGGGCAGCCCTGTCCAGGCGCCCCGGAACTCACAAAGATCCTACCCCGTGCCCTTCTTGTGAGCGTGGACCACGAACTGCAGGAGGAAATGGATCGAGGACGTTTCGGGCGTTTTCACAAACGACGGCTGACACGAGCTTACGTGAGAACGGCAGCTGGGCACAGAGGAAGCCCGTCCGTACCGCGAGGGCTCGTAAACGGGTGCGGCAGGCCTGATGTGATCCGTGTCTCGCCGTCCCTACAAACCGACCTCATACGCACTCCACACTTACCCTGAATGCCAGCTGGATGGTGTCCAGAGTCCGGGACGGCCGGCAGACGACGGACAGGGCGACGACATACTCCCGAGGATCCATTGTGTCATCTCCACTCTGGGAAGGAGACACATCCTCAGGGCACAGCCCGGTCCCTCCGCGCGCGCGTGTGGGGTGGTGCTGGGGTGTTAACGCTAATCCCTGGATATTAACGGGAAGGTTAGGGGCATCTGGGTGGCTCAGTGAGTTAAGTGTTCGACTCCGGACTTCAGCTCAGGTCACGCCTCACAGTTCCTGAGATGGAGCCCTGAGTCGGCACAGAGCCCGCTTGGGATTCTCTCTCTCTCTCTCTCTCTCTCCCGGGCCCTCCCGTGTGTGCACCCGCTCTCTCTCTCTCTCTCTCTCAAGATGAACTTTAAAAAAAAAAAGTTCCACTTGATTTGCTATTACCTGCTTACATGAAATGCGTATTAAAAATTTTTTTTGTGGGGGCGCCTGGGTGGTGCAGTCGGTTAAGCGTCCGACTTCAGCCAGGTCATGATCTCGCGGTCCGTGAGTTTGAGTCCCGCGTCGGGCTCTGGGCTGATGGCTCAGAGCCTGGAGCCTGTTTCCGATTCTGTGTCTCCCTCTCTCTCTGCCCCTCCCCCGTTCATGCTCTGTCTCTCTCTGTCCCAAAAAATAAATAAACGTTGAAAAAAAAAAATTTTTTTTGTGTGTGTTTATCTGTTTTATTGAGAGAGAGAGAGAGAGAGAGAGAGAAATGGAGCGTGAGCAGGGGAGGGGCAGAGAGGGAGACACAGAATCCAACGCAGGGTCCAGGCTCCGAGCTGTCAGCACAGAGCCTGACGCGGGGCTCAAACCCATGGACCGTGAGCTGAAGTTGGACGCTTAGCCAAATGAGCCACGCAGGCGCCCCACGAAATGAGTATTTTGTAAGAACATTCACGGCCGACTGGCCTTTACAAGGTGACCTCAGCACACACGCTTTTAGGACGTTACAACTGATTCTCAAAGTCTACGAGAGCAGCACGTGAATCTCCTCCGGAAAGTTCACGCGATGCGGTGCCCGCTGCCTAAGGCTCTCCTTCTAGAAAACCCAGCAGACAGCAAGGCTCTCATCTGTGCCCCGAGAACCTAGGTGAGCACGTGGAAAGGGGGGCACCCAGCCTGGCCTGCCGTGCGCCCACGTTGCACGTCCCCAGGGAGCCTGCGGGCCGGGCTGCTGTTGAGTGAGCAGGCCGCCACGGGGCGTGGGATGAGCCGGGACGGGGCGGTGGAGGCCTCGCGGGCGGGGAGATTTCTGGCACAGGGGTGGGGCACAGGGGTCCCTTGCCGTCCCCCGAAGGGAAGGGACAGGCTTCCCTGGGACGGCGCCACACCCGTGGCCCAGGCGGGGTGGCCTCCGGAGCGAGCTCAGGGGCCGGGCAGGTGAGTTCACTGCGGGCCCCTCAGCCTGTGTGTTCCCGGCCCTTTAGCTTCTGGGTCTGAGGGTCTTTGTGTGGAACGGGGAGTGTCTGTGTCGCAGGGCCACTGGGCGCCCGGGGTGGGAAGTAAGACCTAACAGCCGCGTGCTGCGGCGGGGGGTCTGCGGGTCCCCACCCGATGCACGTGCCGGGGACGCCGCTCGCTGCTGTGTTCCGACGCGACACCGTGGCAAAGCGCCAGCATGAAAACACCGCCACGGCTGGGGCTCCGACGACGGGAGCGCGCGGCCAGGACGCAGCTGCGAGCGGCCTTTCCGCGAGGGGGACCCTCCAGGCCAGCCCGCCGGTTTGTGACGGCGGCACACGGGGCCACGCGCTGTGACGCGTCAGCAGGACGCCCGTCACCGTGACCTGTGAGTGCCTGTGGCGTCTCTGACGTGCCCGAGTCACACGCTTGCCTCTCCTTGGTCCCACCACGGGCCAGGCCGCATGGAACGTGGCACGTCGCCACAGAGGACACGCTGTGACATTCACGTGGAACGTGCTGTGCTGTTCACACACATTTGTGGCTGAAGGGGCTGCTCGGCACATGGCCTGCCGTGGGACTGGCCGCCACAGGGGTCCATCCCTCGACGCCAACATCCGGGAAAGAGCGGGCGTGGCAGCCACCGCTCCCGGCATGTGGTCTCCCAGCTCCACCCCCGGGGCCCAGCTGGTGCTGGTGGCCGTGGACCCCCAGTCCAGCCACGACACGTGACCCGACTGTGACGCATGGCTGGCGGGGGTGAGGGACGCTGTGCTGGGGGGTCCTCTCGCGCTGGACGGGAGGTCCGTGGCGACCCCACGTGCCGATCATGGGGAAACAGGCCCGTTATTTGGGAATTCTGGGTTTCTGGGGAAGGGGACACTGATATTACTAGGTTTTTGGCAGTCCCACCGTAAAACCCCAAACCACAGGTATGTTTATCAGCAGACATTAACTTAAACGTCCGACTTCTGTGTGCGTTTAACAGCACAGGAGAAAACTCTGGGCGGGCTGGTCGGACGGGCGCGGAGGGGTCGTTCCCGCCCTGCTTCCTAAGTCTCCAAGAGATGCTTCTATCGTAACAAAACAATGTACACGGGAAAGCTGGAAAAGCTGGAGGTTTTGCCTCGAAACCGCTCACAGGGCTATGGCCCCACCTCATCAAACAGGGAGAACAGGTCTTGTAGTGTGTCTGAGACGGGGACGCCCAGGTACTCGGCGAACTCGGGGAGGCCCACCCTGCGTCCCCCCTGCGTCTGGGCCCGGTCGCAGTATTTATCCAGATCTTTCTCCAGTGTTTCTGGTTTCAACCTACACAAAAAGAGAAGGAAGGACATTTTTCAGTGAAATTACAGCATGCTAAGAACAGGAAACGTACTGTTAGAAAATTCAAGAAAAGAGTGAAGTTGCTTTTACAACAAGAGGCAAGTTCATTTAAAAAAAAAAAGTGTTCTAATAATTTTGCCTCGGCGTCTACAGGAACGAGGCCCCGCCAGCTGTGGGGACCCACCCTCGGGCAAGTGGGGGCGGCCGCCGGCCGCGCTGCGACGGTCCTCCGGGTGGAGCCCACAGAGACCGCTGCCGAGCACTGGGGGTCTGAAGCGGGTATTTGGAAAACCCCCCGAAACCCTGAGCACAAGCCCTTTTATCTGCTCGACGGCCGCCGCGGACCCTCCGCGCCCACTGCCATCTCCAGCCTGATCACCAACAACTGCAGGGGTGGGGGCCCCTGCGAGGGCCTGACGGAAGTTTCCAGAAGCTTCCCGTCTTAGAAGCGGCGTCTCGGCAGTGCCCTTCAGAGCTCTCCCCGTCGCTGAGCAAACCACCCGAGCTTCGTCAAACCCGCCACAGCCTCGAGGGAGGGCCGTTCCGAGCTGACGGCTCGAGTGAGAAAAAGCAGACTCACCCCAGGCCCCTCACCAGCCGGGCGAACTCGAGAAGGCAGGTGTCCGCGGGGAGACGGAGCTGGCCTTCCGCCAGGGCCAGTTGGCAATCGTCATACGTGTAGTCGGTCACCGAGACGCCCAGGGCCCTGCGGGAGAGGAGGGCACCCCGTCAGCACCCCCCCCAAGCGGCACAGCAAGGAGCCCGTGCAGGGCGACCCCGGGAGCCCGGCGCTGGGGAGAGCGTGGGGCGGGCTGAGGGCGAAGCTGGCACCCCTCCCCTCCCCCCGTGGGACACAAGTGACATTCCTCATGCACTCCCGGCTGCCCTAAAGCTGAGAGAAGGAAAAAGCACACGGTTACCCGATAGAGTTCACGGTCCTGTGGGACGTGAGTCTCAGTCGGTTTGCAAACATCTTAGTAAATTACGAGAAAAGGCGACCTTATCAACAGCCCCGTCCCCAGAAGCCTGTAGGCTCCGTTCCCCGCAGCCCCAACATCACCCCCCACAGCGCTGTGGGAACAAAGGCCAGAAGAAGTGGCAGGCAACGTCAAACTTCCTCGTGACCTGCGGCCCACGGACAGAGGCCTGCGGCGGGTCCAGAGGAGAGCACCTGCCCAGAACCCCCTACCGTCCCAGGGGTAAGGCCTCCCCAGGGGGAAAACAGCCTTAGCTTCCCAACGGCAAGGCCTCCTCTCCCGGGATCCTCCCGGGCACGTGAGAGCCCTCCCGCCAGCCTTCCCGGGTCCTTTACGAACCGAACCCCCAGATGCAGACCCGCCCCAGCACGCTCCTCCTGCCCACGGCCCTGTCCCCGCGCTTCCGCGGAATCCCCTTCTGGAGCCGAAGAGGTCTCAAGACTTCTTTCCTGGCCGTCAGCAACGGACCCCCACCCCTCCAAAACCCCACCAGCGCTAAAGTCGCAGCGGCCCCGCCTCACAGGCCCCTCCCCTGTGGCTCCCGCCCCGTCCACACAGCAGCAGCACCTGCCGCCCCACACGTCCCGCGTGAGGCGCACGGTGGCCGGCGCGCGAAGACCTACGCTTGCGGACAGCGATCCCCGCCTCTGGGTCTAAGAGGTTTATGTGCCAGCCACGTTTCTGTGGTACTCCTGTGGCCCCGTGAAAACCCGTTTCAGTTCGACAACAGGAAGAAACTGCTATGAATGCAGGTGGTGTCGGGGTGGGTGTGCCCGTCAAGGACTGAACACGTTTCCCAAGAAGGGACACCCACTGGACGACCACGCGACGGCAGCCGGAGAAGAGATTCGCACCGGAGAGCCATGGCGTGTCTGTGGCGCTGGGGGCTGACAAAGAACTCCCAGAAGCAGGAGGAACCGTCCACCTCGGAAGTACGCCCACATTGATAAGTCTTAAAAAGCGGGGCGTCCGGTGGCTCAGTCGATGGAGCGTCCGACTTCAGCTCAGGTCACGATCTCGCGGTCGGTGGGTTCGAGCCCCGCGTCGGGCTCTGGGCTGACGGCTTGGAGCCTGCTTGGGATTCTGTGTCTCCCTCTCTCTGCGCCCCTCCCCTGCTCACGCTCTCTCTCTCTCTCTCACAAATAAGTAAACAAGAAAAAAAACTTGTAAAAACTGGACTAAAGCACATGAGTATGTGAAAATCTCTAGGAAGCGGATGAGCAGTTCTCAAGCCCGCCTCTCAGGGGCTCGTCACCCGGCCCAGCGCTCTGTCCCTTTGGGTCCTGCGGGTACAGCACAGCTGTCCCTCGCGATTCCGGCACCCGGCAGCCTTCAGGCAGGTGAAGCCGGGGAAGGCCGGGGGGGAGGAACCCACTGAAAACGCCCTCTGGGCCAGGACCCTTGTGGTTTCCCGAGTGCCCCCGCCCGTCCACTCCTGCATCCCCCCAAGATAGGGGTGTCTGGTGGGGCCCCAGCAGGACAGACAGACCCCACCTGGAGGAAGGAGGGGAGGATGGGGGGGTCTGAGCAGGGGCGGCGTGGTTCCAGAGCATCAGCCCTGGCTGCAGCCCTCGCCCCGGAGCCTGCACCGGCGTTCTCACGCAAGCCCACGCGGGCACCCGCCACGTACGAGCCCGTAACCGGAGCCACGGGGTGGCGGGCGCTCAGCACGCCGACGTGCGCAGAAAGGCAATGTGTCAAGTCCACACGTGGCACTGAATGGAGAAGCTTATGAGCGAACCCCAAATTTCAGTTACTTGGACCCTGGGGCCCCAGGCTTCGCGGCTAGCGCAGGATTGCCACGGTCCCCCTGCCAGGCAGCCGGCGGGTGCCTCCGAGCGGACACCGCCCCGCGAGGGGGGGGTCTCACCCAGAAGTCCCGCTGGTCTCACGGTGGCGAGGGGCCGCTCTCATCAGGCTGACGGCGCCCTGAGGTCAGGGGCGGGGCATCAGGGTTCTGAAAAATGTGCGTCTCCCATTAAGGGGGACCCTCAATGGTAGAAAAGTCGCCAAGTGTTGGACCCGGGGCCCCTCCCCTACGACCGAGAGCACCTGCCACCGTTCCCACAGCCCCTCGTGGCAAGACGGTCCCACGAGAGATCGTGGGTAAGGAAGCGGGTTCTGAAGCGGCTCTCCCGCAGCCGCTAGGACCCCCGTGTGGGGACAGGAGCCGGAATGCACCCGGAGCGTCTGAGACTGTCCCTCAGGGACCCGGGCTGTTTCCAGGTGGGCCCGGAACCAGGAAGGGGACACCCCACATCCCTGTTTCTGGGTTCTCTGCCCTTTGCCACTCGACGTGTGATGCCTGTCCTCCGTTAACAGGCAGAGTCTGTGAGATACTCATCAACATTAATGGCTAATTTATTTGAACGGGAATTAAAAAGAATTCACACCCGTCAAGCCTTCGATTCCGTAGGGATTATTTACCGAGAGGCTGAAGCAAGGTGTCACCGAACGCCCTGCCTTGAGTCACGTGCATCCTGGTGGCCAGCTGCTGCCTGTGTGTCCGGGATTCTGAGAGCGGGAGGGACACGGGCTGCCAGTGGCTGGGCACCCAGGGGGACCGGAGCCATCTGCTGGGCTCTGTCCCCAGCCTAGCTTTCTGAGGGGCATGTGGACACGCGGAGTTCGAATTTACCTGTGTTCAGGTTAGGATTCTGCTTTATACAGTCCCACAGAGTATGTTGCCACAGGGGTGCGATCTGTATACAGTGAGGGGACAGGGTTGACTTCACACCCAGGCCACACCAGCTCGGCAAAAGTGCCTGTGAAAACGCCTCCGAGGCCACGCAGACCTCCCGCCGGGGACCCCGCGGAGCCCCTGAGCTCTGAGAACCGCTCCCGGGACCTCAGCGGCCACACAGAGGCAGCCCCTGCTGCCGGGGAGTAGAAGAGAGGAGGGTAGAGGAGACGGGACACGGGGGGAGGGGGTGCAGAGGGCGCAGGCTGATGTCTCCCCGTCCACAACGGCCGGGAAGGGTATGGAAACAAAAGCGAGAAACTCCCCGAGGGCACGCACACTCGTTGTGGAAGCACTTTATCTTCCAGGATTAGACTTGGGAAGAGGGAGGAAGAGGGCTGACGGCTACTGCAGCGGGTGAACAGAGAGCTGATACACAGGACAGCCCCGTGGGCGCCCAGGCGGTGCGGCCCCTCGCCCTCGGGCGCAGACCCGGCACCGGGCTGACTGGTTCCTACCCACGCGTCTGAATTCACCAAGTTAAGCAACGAAGCAGAGGCAGAACCGTGACCCCACGGCCACCGGAGGTGCGAAAAGAGTGGCCACGCACGCCCCCCGCCCGTGTGCACACTCAACGGGCCCTCGCTCGCTTCTGCAGAGACCGTTTTCCTATGGCTACTGGCTAGTTTGCTCCCAGGGCTCAGGAGGAAGCTGCGGCTGAGGGGCAGCCCCGGGCCATCCTCGGGCAGTGACAGGGGCACCAGGGTGGCGGCGGGGGCCTGCGCCCGGGGCGTGGGAGGGACAGCACTCACTCTGCCATGACGCGCCGCACGTTGCTGGCATACAGGGCCGGGTCCTTCTTCTCCTCGTCCGAGGGGCTGTACACGGGAAGGAACTGAGCACAGAGAAGGCCGAGTTACTTCCACGGGCATCACCAGGCCACCGGAGGTGACGGTCGCAAGTCTGACACGATTAAGGTCTGTCAAAGCACTTTCCGTTAGAACCATCTTCAAAGTGGCCACGGTGCGCGTGCACGCATGCACGGACACGTGTGTGAACACTCACAACCCGCGACTCCTGGGCAGGAGCGCCCCCTGCCTGCAGGCGCACTGGGTGACAATCTCACACGGAATCTTCCTCTACGGATGCAAAAAAGTTACTCGTGTGCCTTCCTCTCGAAAGGCCTCAGCTGGTGTTGGGGGTAACACGACAAACTATTTCCTCATGAAAAAGCACCAGATTTGACATCCGCTGCATTTTCAGATTATGACAAACCGTCCCACGGAAGTGTGCATTCGCGTGAGCGGCGCTTTAAATGAGTGAGTCCCACGCTCTGCTGCCGCCCCACTGTGTGCAGGCGTCACTGTGCCCTCTCTCTTTATCACAGACATCTGACAGTGCAAGGACATCCTGAAATGCCACCAGTCCTCATCACGTGACCTCATTCACCCGGCACCATGAACTAGACGCCGTGGAAGTCACAACAGGTGCTCACGGACACCCGTAAGCATGGCGTGAGTAAAGACACTTAGAGCGATTTCAAAAAGTCATTGTGTCTTTTGAACTCAGAACATCAGAAACGAGGTGTGAAACGGAGTTCACACCGGAGGCACGGTCCTCCGAGGCCCCTGCACCGGCTGCTTCCGGGCCACCGGCACACGAGCCACATACAAAGGTCTAAGGGGCAGGCAGGCCCGCCACCCTCGGATGCGGGCCGGGGACCCTTTGCTTCAGCCTGTTGTGATTAAGTGGCTTCTGTTCTCCTGAAGTAACAAACCCGGAGGCCGGCCGAAAGCCAGGCTCATCAGTAAGTTCGGTGCAACATGACAACTTTTACCGGAAGGAAGTTGTCTCGTTACACCCTCCACGCCATGAACGGGCCATCCCTACTCTGCGGTGCGGGACTAGCCTATTGGTTCCCTTCTTAAAAAGGAACCCTCCTCCCTCATGCACTTGGATGAAACGTGCAGGCTGCATGATTGTGACTATTTAACAGAGTGGAGGGAACAGGAGTCGTGACTCGGGGACACCCAACGGGCTGCAAGCCGGGAGGCAGGTTATGCGATCCGACCGAACATCGAACAGAAAACGGCAGTACGAGACACGTGCCACGTGAACTCGCCAGTATCAGACCACGTAAAAACGCCAAAACATAACTCGCTGCGTATGCGCCAATTTGCTAACCGTGTTAAAAGACGGTTGTGGATTTTTAAAATCCTATCTAAACGGATTCAAAATCATGCAAGAGACACAATGTGATTGATGAAAAGCCACGGGAAGTACCTCTAAGGAGCTACAAAGCAAGACAGATGCGTATAACACTGAGACACAACGTGACACTGTATAGTATGTGCCGCGACAACACGTAACACTGTGTCTGTGGAGACCCCGACGTCGTACAACACATCCCCACAGACACAAATATGACACAGTATCCGCTAACACCACGTCCACACAGGTAACGTCACGTTGTGTTTGCACGACACCAACACGACATTACATCTGTACGGACAATGACAATGCTCAACTCATATCCGTAGAGTCCCCAGTCACAGACTGTGAAACGCTGTATCCGTGTAGACGTCAACATACAACTTTACCTGCAGACGCTGTATCACATCTGTTGGTACGGACGTTAATACGACATTGTATCTGTATACACCCCAGTGAAGGTTGCCTAAGCTGCATCTGCACAGAGGATAACCCTGTGCGACGCTGTATCTGTATAGAGCCCGACGTAACACCGTATCGCGGTGCATCTACGCAGACCTCGACGCCAACACTACGGTTCCTACCTTTATAAACCCCGACATGACATTGTAGAGGACGCCGCATCTATACAAACCTCGATTTCCACTCGATTGTGAAACTGACAGAGCGTGAGCCACAGGATTTTCAACCTTAAAACGAACAAACAGATTTACAGCATTGGTTAAAGGATTCTCGATTTTGTTTAAACTACTTCCGATTCTGGAGCAGAGCCTCCGGATGCCTTCCCCTGCAGAGGGCACCACTGTGCAGTGAATTCTTTCAGCGGACGCCGAGCCTCCCTCAGCCTGACCCGAACCTCGCAGCAGTGAGGAGGATGGGGCTACCTTTACTGAACAGGGGACTTCCCTGTCCCTACTAAATGCACCGACCCTGCAGCTCTCCTTTGCCCTGCATGCCACGTTTCCCCCATGTGTCCTCCAGCTCAGGACACCTCGCCTACCTGACGCTGTCCCCGACCTGGCCGTCCCCAGTGACGCAGACCTCTCCGGGCCCGGCCCTAGAGCTCCTGACTGGCATCACCAACCTGTTCTTTGCAGAAGTTGGACAAGGGGAGCCATCCGAGTCCTGTCCTTGGGCCATCGCTCACCCTCCACAGTGGACAAGTGCCCTCTTAACTCCTTGCACACCCGACCTCTGCCCCGTCACTGCCACCCCCAAGCCTGACCGCCACAGCCCAGAGGAGCCCCCTCCTGCCTTTCCCAGCTTCCCTCTTGCTTCTTGCCACCCACCCTCCACACTCCAGCCCCCGCAACGCTATCACTCCCCCCCCACCCCTCGCCGGCGCAGACGCTGCCCTTTAGGGAGTCCTCCCAGCATTCCGTTCCAAATGCCTTGGCAAGGCCTGGGGGCCTGGCTCCACCAGCCCCTTCCCACCGCCAAACAGCAGCTCAAATGCTGGCGTCGTGGGGAGGCCTGCTGTCCTGGAGCCCCCCGGGCCTGAGACGGGGGCCGTCCCCGCAGCTCCCCTCCCTTCCTAGCAGCCGCAGGTGTCCGACGTGACGGTGGTCACCGAGCCGACAGGCGCAAGTGGGAAGGAGAGCCACTCCCAGTTACCTTCCCACAACGAACTTAGGTCCTGGACGCCAGGAGGGTGAGAACGGGCCAGGTTTGTACACCTGGTTTGCACAGGGGGCAGAACTGAACTGCTGTTGAACAGCAGCGGGTCACGCGTCCAGAGTTCCCACGTGTGCACAACACAACGCAGGCCAAAGTGCAGGCCAGTCGCTTGAGGGGCCACTGTGCTTTCTGGGGAGGACAGGACGCGTGAGAGCGCGCAGTGTCTCACTTACGCTCCAGGTCCTTGCCACGTCCACGTGATGGTGTCCTGGGGGGCAAGAAAGGAGCAGCATGAGTCACAGCTGACCCAGCGTGTGCCCGCCCTCCGTCCTGGCCTCGACCTGCCCGTCTCTCACCAAGACGCTGATGCCCTCTTCTTCCCCAGTCTGCTCTGGGACAAGGGGGCAGGCGGGTGGCTACCACCTCCGGGCCGCTCTAGACACACTCCTCTCCTCCCACGGCTCCAGGGCCGGTGCATCCCTCGTCCTGTCCCTTGTTCAAGCCGTCCCGCAGCTTCGGTCTACGGCCCAGGAGCCTGCCTTGTGCGGGCCTCGGGAGCGGTCCCTACCGCGTGAGGTGCGTTCCAACCCACACCCACCTGTACCCCCACTGCGGGGCCTGTGCGTGCCCAGCACCCCGAGACTTGTGGACGCCCCCCACCCTCGGCCTTCGCTGCTGTGCCAGTACTGGGCGGGGACGGACGTCAGAGGACACGCGCCCTGTTTCTACCCTGACGCCGGTCCCCCACGTGGGCTTTCTTCTGAAGTCCTTCCCACAGGCTGCTGAACACCCCTCCCTCCCCGATCCCAACCTCAGGGGCTTCTCCGGCCGCTGACCCCATGGCCCTGGCCCACCCTCCTCCCCACAGGACCGGGTGCAAAGTGGTCAGTGGCGGTTTTCCGGGAAATTATGCAGCTGAAGAGGACGACACAGGCCAACGAGAAGAGACTGCAAAGCAGCCAGGCTGAAGGCTTCTAGAAGAACCCAGGAGAGGCAATTTGCTTAAACTAAGTTGACAAAGCAAACTTAAGAAGTGGAAAACCTAGAATTCTACACGTCGATGACAGATTCTCTGACTCTCAGATGCCGGCTGACGCACGCACCTCTCCGGTCACGTACCGCGAGACTGTGCCACCTCTCGGTTTCCATGGCTTCCGCTTCTGACATTTACTCACTGGCCACTCTGGGGGCCTCTTTTGTGTCCGTCTGCACCTGAAGGCACGGGGTCTGGTCCAGCAGAAGGTGGGCCAGGCCTCACGCCCACAGACGTCACCCACAACTCTGCCCCCATCCGTGCCAGCGACTCCAGACCCCACCGTGCTGCGACTGGGGAGTTTCTGTTTTGCTGTCACAGAGACACAGTGGGACAGAGACACAGCTCGCTGTGACAAACCCACCTCCTGTGTCTTCCGTCAAGAAACAGTCCAGCGCATCCAGTGCCCAGGCAGGGCCCAAGGACACGAGTCCCTGTGTCCCAGTCTCAGCTACGAGAGCCCGACACCTGTTGAGGCACAAGGACGTCCCCCTGGCAGGGGTTCTGCTCTTACAGAGGTGGCGGCGGAGGGCACGGGGGCCTGTGACCAGAACCCGCCGAGGCTGCGTCCAGCTCCCTGCCTCCCCTGAGCTGGGGGTCCGTCGGGATCACCCAGGCACTCGGAGCCCCACACGCCCTTCTTTTAGTCTGCTCTGTCACAAGCAAAGACCTCTGCACGGAGCCAGACGCACAACGGCGTATTAAATACCAAGTCACTTAGTTCCTTTCCCTCCTGCGGTCTCCAGCCTTTCAGAGCTTAAGCACTCTTAATTTTAGTGTTTCCTGGTAAACAGGCAGTGAAGGCTCCTGGGGACATGGGGGCCCGTCTCACATCAAACCATCAGACCGAACAGACAGGAAGGGCCTCCGCTCACGACCCACGAAAACAGGACTTCACGCACGAATACTGAAGCGTTCTGGAATGTCGGGATTGACTACAAACGGTGCCTGAAACATCTTCAAACTCTCATTCCCAAGTAAATCACCGGAATCCCCGGGAAACGCGCTCACCAGTTTGTTCGGGTACCGCAGAACCACAGGCTGGACAGGAACTCCTGGGATGAACGCACCTGCGGGGGAAAGGGCAGCGTCCTAGTTCCCGAGCCGCGGGCCCCGCGCTGGCGCCTCTCATGCTGGTCTTGGAGTTAACGTGAGCTTTTCTCCCTCGCCCTCCTGGTCAGAAGTCTTATTAAGGTGCCTGGAGGGACCCTCAACATGGCTGCCAGCTGTGAAATCTCAGGGGAACCCCAGGCTCACAGCCCGTCCCGCAGGAGCGTCTCCAGCCTGGGGTGTACTTTTGTGGGAAATCTGGGAGGCACTGGTGGGAGCAAGGGTCTCCCCTGCTTTCCCGAGGAGGAATTTCTCTGTGGAATTAAGAAAACTACAGGGGCGCCTGGGTGGCTCAGTCGGTCGAGCGTCCGACTTCAGCTCAGGTCATGATTTCACAGTTCGTGGGTTCGAGCCCCGCGTCGGGCTCTGTGCTGACAGCTCGGAGCCTGGAGCCTGCTTCGGATTCTGTGTCTCCCTGTCTCTCTGCGCCTCCCCTGCTTATGCTCTTTCTCTCTCAAAAATGAATAAAACGTTAAAAAAAATTAAACAAAAACCCTACATACCAGGCTTGAAGGTAATTAGGCACGTCCTGTTGGTACATGTTCCTTCTGGAAAAATCATGATCTTGGAATGAAAAGAAAAAAAGGTGAATCTTAGACATAATTCAGAATACAATCTATTTTCTCTGCTGCTGACATACTTCAGATGTTTAATCTACTCCGTTGAAACGGGTCAGACACAGGACGAAGGCATACACGGACGGATTTCCTCTCCAAGCACGGGTTCTACTAAAGTCTGGAAGCACAGACCTACACACAACACAGCCTCCTTCGAGTGTGCAAAGGGGTGTGCTCATGAGGGAGTTTACTCACGAGGGGGAGTGCTCACGAGGGGTGTGCTCACGAGGGGGAGTGCTCACGAGGGTGTGCTCACGAGGGAGTTTACTCACGAGGGGGAGTGCTCACGAGGGTTGTGCTCATGAGGGGTGTGCTTACGAGGGTTGTGCTCACGAGGGGGAGTGCTCAGGAGGGTGTACTCACGAGGGGGAGTGCTCACGAGGGGGTGTGCTCACGAGGGGGACTGCTCACGAGGGGAGTGCTCAGGAGGGGGAGTGCTCACGAGGGGGAGTGCTCCTGAGGGTAGTGCTCATGAGGGGGAGTGCTCACGAGGGTGTGCTCACAGCTGCTATGAGGCCCAGGTGCTGCCGCCCGGGGACACACTGCCAGTGCGGAGTAGGTCCCCACAGAGACACAGGCAGCAAAGGCACACAGGTGAGGGCCGTGGGCGGAAGGAACCCAGCCGGGCCAGAGCGGCAACACCACACACGTGGTTAAATTCCTCCCCACCCGGAGCTGCAATCACTCGGACTCACGCTGACCCCAGCAACATAATATGAGCCCCCCCGACGTTGGAAAATATGGCTCACGTGGCCACGCGGCCGCTCTCAATCGTGTGGCTGCCTAGGGGCACAGGGGCCTGAGAGCCAGGCCTTCTGGGGTTTTCTGAACATCTAGAACCCACAGAGTCCCACAGATCCCAGCCCTTCGGCGTTGGAGGGAGGATACACAGTGTGACTGAAACCGTCCTCAGCCGACACAGGCCTGCAGCCGGGTCAGGACCTTCCCTCGGGGCTCCGTCCAGGCTCTTCACAAAGAGTGGACAGGCCTCACAGACCGACGTGCCACTGAGACGTGGGACTGTGCCATACACGGAGCCCAGGTTAGCCAGCTTCCGCCCGGTTGGAGCTTACGGGGAGACGCCTTTCAATACAGAGGCTTCGGCAACTTGAGACAGGCATGGCGATGCTTCCCTTGTTTGAATTTTAAAATTTCAGGACCCAAAGTACCCCAAAGTTAGCACAATCCTGAATTCACACACTCCTCAAAAATAAAATGAAACAACAAATCCAGCCCCAGGGAAGTCCAGTTCTGGCCCTTTGGGTCCCCACCACCCAGCCCCACCTCTAAGTTCACATCTCTCGGGACAGATCTGCTGAAAACGCGACTGTGCTACCTGCGGCCACTTTCCGTTCGACTGTGCCCGCCTCCTGATCTCCTCCACGGTCTTCCTGCGGGAATCCTGGTCCGACCGGGACACGAACACCGGCCGGATGTACTTTATCAGAGCTGGAAGGGAAGGAAGGCACTCGCGTGGGAACAGGCCACAGGACTGGAGGAGGCACAGCAGTGGCCCTGAGGGGCAGGCCGCAGTCGATGCGTGACCCTGAGGGAACCGAGCATCAGCAAAGCTCCCTCACACGGCAGCACGCAGCCCCACACCCTGCAAGGTCCGCAGTAACCGCAGCGTCCGTGGGCCTGTCCATCAGGATAAAGTGAGAAGAATGAGGCTGACCGCACCCCTGCTAACAGAGGACGGCGGGGAAGGCTCCAGGGTCAGAAGGGCCCCAGGCATGTGGTTTAAACACCACCCGCCCCTATTACGGGCACACCGTGTCTCTCGAAAACACAGGCTGTCGTCCTAACCCCAGTGACCTAGGACTGTGACTTCATTTGGAAACAGGGCGTCTGCAGATGCAAATGTATGACGAGGTGGTCCCGGAGTGGGGTGGGCCCCAGCCCAGGCCCGGTGTCCTCACAAGACGAGGAGGAGGCCACGGGACACCAAGGACTGCAGGGAAGGGCCAGGGGCTGCAGGGGGCCGTGTGGACTCCCCCCACCCCTCCCCACCGCCACCCAGGACCTGCCCTGTCCACACCTGTGCTCTGCACTTCTGGCCCAGGTGGAGAAATCAACACCACCCAGCACGGGTGAGGCAGCCGCAAGCCCAGCCATGCGCCACAGGCCACATGTGCCACACAGCCCCCTGGTGAGGGGGTGGGTCAGTGCTCCCACCACCAAAGAGGATGGTTGTCGGGAAAGAGGGTCTAAACGTGGGAAGATACATCTTAGAAGAGAAACCTGGAGCCCACGTGTCCCGACGTGTCCACATCTGAACCCCCAGAACCTGTGCACGAAACCTTATCAGGGAAAACGTTCTTCGCGGACGTAACTAGTTACGGATCTGAAGATGAGACCACCCTAGACCATCCAAGGACAGGCGTCCTTATAAAAGACACACACACAGAGGCGGCCTGTGACGAGGGACGCGGGGCCACCAGGAGCTGGAAGAGGCAGGAGGGATCTTTCCTGAAGGCCTCCAGAGGGAGGGCGGCCCTGGGACACCCCAGCCTTGGACTTCTGGCTCCAGAAGGGGGTAGAAGCTTCCGCTCTCTTAAGCCACCAGTTTGGTAATTTGTCATTTGTCACGAGGCCTAGGGACACTTGCACAGCTGGGCTTCCGGTACAGGAACCAGTGCTCTGGGACACAGCTGGGGAGCTGTCCCCAGGCATTAGAGTGCCTCTGTGATACAGAAGCTGATGACAGGCTGCAACACGTCACGACATCTGGGGCCACTTGTGTGTGCATGAAATGTAAAAGTTGTAACAACAGATGCTGCAAAGGAACCATGAGAAAAGGAAAGAACAGACCCAGGACAAGTGCCTAGGTCACATGGGTGTGACCTGTGCCGACCAGCAGGAGGGGGACTCACTCCCAGTAGGAGGTGGGGAGGACTCACTCCCAGGAGGGGAGAGGAGTCACTCCCAGTAGGAGGGGGGAGGACTCACTCCCAGCAGGAGGTGGGGGGGCTCACTCCCAGTAGG